CCCTCGTCCCACCCAGTTGAGGGAATCAGCAAGGTCATTTCTGAATGTCTGCAGAAGTATTCATCTTTCCATACTTTTGGGGTTGTGCCCGCCAGTCAAGGTGTAATATGTTATCTGTAACACAAACACAACAGCAATAGATGGAAAGGCAGTGTATATAAGGTTTTCATTGGTTTTGTTGTCTCTAGGTTATTTCAATGGTGTGATGTAAAATCCATATTTATGCAGCTTATGCAGAGACAGAGTGCCACATTAAACAGCAAGAAGGTCACATATATAAAACACAAAATCATTTTAACCCTTTTAGCCAAAAGTCAAATGCAATATGCATATTTCCAATAAACAATAAAATGAGAAACTATGATAAGCTTGACAAGGAATATTGCTTGATAGCATGCCTCGACTAATCACGTCACAGAAATAAAAGGAATTCCAGTCATATGGTAATCTTTTAAGAACGAACAACCTATGCTTTGCAAAGGCACAGTAAGGTTGATTGAGTAGGCCACATACACTTCTTTGTAGTTTATTCATTGTGTCGCCACGTTCTGAACTGATTTAGGGGGAATTCTAAGGGAACTTAGAAGTGGGGCCTTGAAGTATAGAAGTAATGACCTAAATTATATCGTAGTAATAATCATCATCAACTGATATGAAGCAAATTATCGTAATAAAATTTTTCCATATTGCCCAGCCCTACCCGAAACTGCCACTTGCTGAAATGGTCGGTGTAATAAAGCTGCTACAAGCTTCCAAACCATTAGTGGTCCAGATTAATCTGAGAACAATGTTAGGTAAAGTTAATGTTACTTCCTGAAGTGTTGGTTAAGTCTGTTGTTGTCCAGAATTTTGTCCAGATGTCTTCTTTCTCTGTTGTACCTTTATTGCATGTCTGGGGTTAGTATATGCAACTTTTAACAAAAAGAATCCAAAATGTATCAAACAAAATTTGATGTGAAAAGATGTGTATATTTGCGGAAATTCAGGAGCAGGTGTGTACACAACATTTCGGACAAACCGGGAAAAAGTGACACCCATTGTAATGCAGGGATGCTTTGACATGAAAAATGGTAAGTCTAAATATGCTAAGTGGGATTTATTGATTTTTCATTTATTTGTATAAGGCAAAGACTTTGCATTTGCCTTGTAAAATTTTATTTGCTATTTCAAATACATCACCTCTTCCCATGAATTGAAAATATCTGTAATCATGGCCGTACCTAACATTGAGGACACTGAGGTCAAGTCCTCAGTATTTTTTCTGCATTTTGAATAACCATGATCCATTTCGGGGAACACCTAAGAAGAGCTAGCACTTTTGAACTCGCTATTTTAAAGATTACCGCCCTGTCTGTAATTGTCACTAGTTGCATTACGTGTGAATTAGGCATCAAACATTTGCATGCATGGACTCACATACATACACATTGTCATGAGAGCATAGTTGCATTCTTGCTAGTAATTACGTAAATCGAAAGATTAGAACAGAACAAGTGTTGATGGTATTCAAGAGGTCATTTACCTGCAGGTTCCTGTTTTACAATGAGTGTCACCATTTCTTGACTTCTCCGAAATGTGGCGTAGACCTGCCCCTAAGTTGCCATAAATATATGCATATTTTTCCTGTCAAGGTTTGTTTGATAAATCTGAAATTTAGAAAGCAATATGTACATTTGGGCTTACCTTTGTGTATATGTAACTTTTACTGGCATAGATATCCATTATTTTCTTATTGTTTCTTATTGTTTAATTTCTTATTGTTACTAATAAATTTCATCTGTCAGATTATCAGGAAGCTCATTAACACTTTACTCGAGGGGATACAACTGCTTAGTAATAACTCAGTCACTACTGAAGTACAAATCATGAACAAATATAGTTGCTATGTAAGATGAAAGATGTGTCATCATTCATTAATGATGAAAAAACATAACATCAGTATTTCACTTGTGTTATTCATTACTTGTTCCTTCAGTAGTTCCTTAGTAGGTCCTTCAGTAGTTCACTAAGATTTACAGAATTATCAGATATAGTAAATATAACTGCTTGTGATAAATGATGCATCACAATTCATTGACAATGAATAAATGCACCATCAGTATTTTACATGTTTTTCATTATTTTTTCCTACAGTACTTTCTTCAGTAGTTCCTTCAGTAGGTCATAAAGGTTTATACAATTAACAGATATAGTAACAAATATAGTACTTGCTTGAGATAAAAGATGTGACGATTGATTAATGATGAACAAACATGAAATCAGTTTGTAACTAACACTTAATTTGTGGTTAATTAATACATAAGTAAAAGCACAATACTATTAATTATTTGTGTCCTTTCAAGTAAAGTGTTACTAGAAGCTAAGTGGAGGGGCTATGCTCTAAAACAGGGGTATCAAACTCCATTCCTGGGGGGCCAGAGCCCTGTGTAGTTTAGTTCTTTCCCTGTTCCATCACAAATGATTCAGCTCAAGAGCTTTGTGATAATTAGCACAAGGAGTTGAATCAGGTGTGTTAAATGAGGGGAAACCCAAAAATGTGCAGGGCTCCGGCCCCCCAGGACTGGAGTCTGACACCCCTGCTCTAACAGATGTGTTCTGGACCAGCCAAAGGAAAGACATGGCAATGGCTGGCTGGGCTTATTGGAAGAAGAAGGTCTCTGACCATCACTGCCCTGGATCCTTTGAGCCTGAAGTTGGCCTGACCCTCAGGCCTGATACTGCCTTGGTCTTGGGACTGCATGTGTATATATGGCACATTTGCTTTCTGTAATCTCTTACATTTACATTTACACTCTTAGTTTGTGGTTGATGCAAACTTGTAGCCTTGGTAAGACACCTGTCTCCATAGGAACACAGGTGACTCCTTTTGTAGGTGTCAGTCACCAGGCACTCACTGTAAGCGAGTCTCCTCCTCACCCTGTTAGTCCTGGAGGTCAATGGGAAGGAGGGACAGAGTCAAGTTACCGATGACTCATCCCAACCTAAGTTGTTTGGTATGCTTTCAAGCACTTTGAAATGAAAGAATGGGCACAGATATCAATCTAACTACGTACAGTATGAAGTCGTAAATTCTGTTGACATTATACTTTATGCAAATTTCGAAAAGCCAGGTTATTTGGGAACCAAATAGAAATGATGTGAAATAGATCAAATGTTTATATATTTGTCAGTATCCTTGATTCATTCAATTGCCACTTGTTGATGCCATATCTGCCAGGGTTTACTGACTGAAAAGTTTTATAAACATAGGAACGTCTATGAATTAGACAGCATGAAAATTTTAATAAATGCACTGTGTACAGCAACATATACACAATCAATGCAATTTATCTAGTGTGGTAACAGAATAAGTGGGTGGAAGCTGAATGGATGGTATAAAGCCCTCTTCTTATAAAGAAACTGTCAGTATTTTATCATATTGTTATATTTAATGGTGTCAAGCAATTAAAAAAAATCCAGTTAATCACAATAATAGGCTGTGATTAATCACAAGTATAAAATGGTCATATTTGCTTGTATTTTTTAAAAGATGAAACAAATACATGTGTGGTCTTGGAACAAAAAATGCATGACAAACTGGTGAGAGGAATCACGAGTATTTTTAATATAACATCTTGGTTTTGATAGTTGAAATCATTCAGTTACATAGTTCCAAATGTGTAAGTTACTAATGTAATTAGCAACTATGCTTCTTGGAAACGTAACCCCTCTCTGCTTTTATTTCTTAATTTTGTGTCACCGCTTCACTACTTCTGTTTTTGAATGAACAGAGAACCCGTAGGTTGCATTATTTATGTGAATTATGCAAGTGTTTTTAGTGCAAAAGTTCATCTTTTATGTGAAATATCTTATTTTCAGCTATTACAATACATACTTATTTCAAGTTGTTTTACAACATGTGTTTTAAGAAACATAAATTAAATAAAACAAAACGCTTGCTTTGTAGCCTTATACTTGTAAAAAAAGTCTCATTAAGGTAGTGAACAATACTAAAAGAACAACCATGTTACCAACAATACATATCTATATTCCTTTTTTGGTAAAGACAAGGTTTAGCGATCAAAATTAGAAAACAAGTGACATTTTGTAATTTCCAAAGTTACTGCTTATCCGAATTTGCAGAGATTGAAGAGATGTATTTTTTATCCGATTTCTTCAGTGAAAACTCTCACATCACTGACTAAAAGCTTGAAGCTCCACAGTCAGTGTAAACAGAACCCCGACATGTGCTCTTGTTTATGACCTCATAAGGATGTCGGATTATCATGTCGTTATCATATGTTATTTTCAAATAATTGGGAGATTAGGGCTGCTTCATGACTCAGACACTCGAGTCAGTGACACTTGTCCTTTTTATTTTCTTTACAAAGCACTAAAATTAATTTAGTTTCTACTTATATATATTTGTTTAAAAAGTAGACTGCTCAAGGTTTATGTGTGTTTTTTTATGTGTCTACGACAAAACTTGTGGAGTATTTTAGACGGTTTGCTGAGATTCGTCTCATCCCGCAGGCGGACTCCAGAGGGTTAATTTGCATTAAAAAATAGCATGTTAACGGTTCCAGATTAATCGCAAACATTATCGTCTTAATCTCGACAGCACAAATTATTATCAAGGATGGTTTAATTATAGTTTTTTGATTGACTCAGTAGACTCTTGTTGGTCATCGTTGGGTCCTTGAGCAAAGCCCTTGGAAAGACTTTAGGTTCACTCTGATAATGTGATACAGTGATGGTTATACAAGATGGATAAATAGATTCAGCAATTGTTAGGTGCTCAGGATACATATAAATAAGCACAAATTGTAGGACTGGGGTGTTGTGCTGCATTAATTGAATTGATCCCTCTTCCACCTCTTTGAATAGGATCGAGTCAGTATCTAAAGTAATGACGTTTTAGATATAAAAAAACCTAAAATGATGAAATCCAACAGCGAATTAATTGTCTCCCAAAACCACCAAGTAATTGACACCAGTCAAATTGACAATCAACCACAAAGGACTGAATTTAAGGTTTATTTCACAGATGTACTTCAAAATCCAGTATTTGCACTGTATATTTCTTTGGAAAAAATGTAACCATTCTTCTTGTACAAAAATAATTCCAAAAAGTAAGCATGCATAGTGGGACAATGCAGTAATTGAAAATATGGCGAAACTTTTAATGAGACATAACTGCCAAGTTGATTTCGCCACATACTTTGGTACATCAAAATAATTTCAGTACTGTAATTTTTGTGTGTTTTCCACACTTGAATATCTATTAATCAACATCGCAACAATCAAATTCATTCAAGTAATTCTAAATATATTTTGCACTTGTATTTCATACCCTTATCTAATTATTCTTATAAATTCTGAATTAGTAGGATTTATAACAATGTTAAAATATATCATTATAATTATAAAGACCACTTATATACCTGATACAGGGTTTGATGACACAATAACAATATAGTGTTTTTACAGTATTCTTGGGGTGATGTCAGTGCCCCACAGGGAAATAATAAGAAATTAAACTCACTTTACTTCTGTAAAAATAAGGCACTAGCTACAATACATTCAGACATGGTACTGAAATACTCAACATACAGTGTCCACACACAGTTTCAACAGATAAAACAGAAAAATTAAAGCAAGTAACATTGGCCCTGTCACATCCGATTTTTAAAGGCTCTGGAGCACCATTGACGTTACAGTAAGTGCTGATCTACGGGTAGCACACTGGATAAGCAGGTAACAGTGGCCTCACTCCTCTAGGTTTGTGGATCCGATTCCTTTCTTCAGTGCTCTGTATGTGGTGTTTGCAAGTTATCCGCATGTTTGCACGGGTCTCCTCTCGCAGTTCAAAAGACAGGGGGTTAGGAGAATTGGTGCCTTTGTGTTTCCAATAAGGCGTGAGTGTGTATGCAGAGGTAGAAAGTTGAGGTCCAGAAAGTACAAATCCAGACCAAGGTTTTGTTTCAACCAACCAGTTGAGTATAAAGTCACATTCACTCAAGTACTTAACTGGTTGGCTGAAACAAAACCTTGGTCTGGATTTGTACTTTCTGAACTTCAACTTTCCACCTTTGTATGTCGCATGATGGATTAATATCCTGTCCAGGATGTCCTCTGTTTCATACCCTACACTTTAAGGGATTTGCTCTCAGCTCACCTCAACCATGAACTGGATAAGAAGTGAAGGAAGACAGGCAGATGTGATTAAGGTGCAACATCACCTGTAGGTTCTGGATGAATCACAAACACAAGGGTCTATATAGGTCACTTACAGGCAGTCCCCAGGTTACAAATGAGTTCTGTTCCCCAAGTCTCTCTTTAAGTTGAATTTGTAGGTAAGTCGGAAAAATAATAATACAGAACATAATACTAATTATAGAGTAATAATGAAAGGAACTACATACATTACTGTACTGAACATCAAGCCGACGAACAGTTAAAGCCATGCAATGTTTTCACAAACATCACAAAGTTGTGCGTGTGTTCGTTATTAAGAGCCATTGTATTTAACCTGATTTTTTTTTATATGATAGGCTTTATGGCAGTCCGTTCGTAAGTATGAGTCGTGCGTGAGTCAGATGTTTTTAACCCAGGGACTGCCTGCAGAGTGCTGCCTTTAGATTAAAATTAAATAAAATGATCCATTTCATTAAGTATTTCCCTTGGCCCTGCTCATCTCTGAGTGTTTTTTTCCGCATTTCTTTATTTTCACATTTTATGTTGCATTGTCATCATCCCCCCCCCACCCAACAGAAATAGAAACAATCTCCCCATATCATAAAGGTGCAAGAGTTTTAAAAGAGGCTAAAAAATAACGTGCGTGTTAACATTTCAGTGCTTCTATGACTTCCCCCCCCCCCCAAAAATCCCACTTTTCCTTAGTTCATCTTCCATAAAGTGACAAGAGGTATAGAAGGTACCTGAGTTACACAGAAACACAAAAACAAAGAGACAGTGTCGAAGATTTCAGCTATGATTAGCTGACGAAGTGGTGTGATGGATGCTGGGGTCTAACACGGTTCTTGCAATGGAGAATGGCATCGTGGATTGATGGGAACAAGAGGTCAGGAGTCATCGCTCCCTCAAAGAATTGCAGATGCTTGAGCTCAGCCATTATGGTACCTGCGGAGCGGAGACAACAATGCATCACGTATTGATAACTTCCAAACAACTTCATTATCTCATCATTGAACGAACACAAACATTACCATCTGTTTACACAAAGCATAAGTTACTATGGTAACAACGACTACATTTTTAAAAGACAAAACATACTTACTGCTGCATCCTGCCAGGAAAATCTTTACGCCAACCTCCCCATACTCTTTAATCACCTACATGTACAGAGACAAACCAAGAGTTGTGACACTGTTCACACCGAAAGAACACAAGAGATAAAGGTATCTGGCTACGAGTTTCCTACTCACAGATTTTATGGTTTTGGCTCCAACAGAGTCAATGAAGTTGACTGGGGTGAAGTCAAGGATGATGGAATGGATGGTACCGGGAGAATCTAACAGGTTCTGGGAGTCATCGGGGTCTGACTCCGATATGGGCTCCATCCCCAGTACTTTGTCCTGAGAATTTGATGGTGAGTCTATCTCACTCACCACTGTCTGAGTGACACCCTGTTCCATATCCTGTGTAGAAACAGATGTACAGTAAACCAGAGGTGGAAAGTTAAGGTTCAGAAAGTACAAATCCAGACCAAGATTTTATTTCAACCAACCAGTTGAGCAGAAAAAGTCATATTCACACTCAACTGGTTGGTTGCAACAAAATTCTGGTCTGGATTTGTACTTCATGTACCTGAACTTTCCACCTCTGCACTAAACCATGCTGTCACATCGCATATGTATATCTAAAATGAGTGAAGCCCCTCCCTGCTTTTAGTGTACACCCAGTGAAAACCTGGCCAAGCCCACATAGGCTTTATCAAGCTTTCATTACACATCTTAAATTCCACTTAAGCCATAAAGGAAGTTGTCAATCAAGTTTAAATGTAGTTGATATTTGCTTTTTGATTCAGACATAATGCTTGAGTTCCAGCCCAGTAGCCTCACCAGTTTAACTAATGCCTCTCGTTTCACGGGGGCTGCCTGGGCCTTTCCTTCCTTGACCCACATCGCTTTGTCTTTCTTCGCTTTTTTTAGGCGCGATGCCTGCGCAGCCAGCAGCAGTGCTGGGTTTATTCCGGTCTGAGGGAGCGCAGATGGGACATCAGCATAAACCACAGTACATCATATGACTCAATTTAAATGTGTATTTTTTTCCCCTCTGACTTTTTCCACCGACAAAAGGTCACATGTACGCCAGCATTGTATTGCAAACAGTGGGATATCACAAAAGCATTTTATCCCCAAACTGATATATCCTTTATGTCACCAGCAGGTGTCGCCAGAAAACTAGAATAATAAGTATTTATTTACCTTCTCTTTAAGGGCATTTACATAGAGGTCACTGTTTGCAAAGTAGATGGACATGTTGAAACGAAATATTTTAATCCCATTGTATTCACTGGCCTAGAATGGAAAAAAATGACAAGCAGAACCAAGGAGTACATCAGTTTTGAAACATCTTACTAGGTAATCAAATGAATAATAAGAATTTGCTCCTGTATGAAAACAAATAGAAAAAAATACATATAAGATACATAAAAGACTGAAAGGTCTGACCTCTTCATACTCTTCAACATCACAGTACAATCCTGTGTCTGGAATCTCCCCTAGAATCATTTTCTTTGGACTGTAAAATAAAATGCAATAAGAATCACTGAGAAGGAAATTTTTAAAAGAATTAATCCATCCATCCATTTTCCAAACCGCTTATCAAATTATATAATAATTTAAAATAACCATAACAATTTCCACAAATTAATGATTATATCTAGTAAACCAGTTTCTTCAGAACTAAATCAAATCATCAATTAATTCAGGGAATTTCCAAGAATTAAACATTGAAATTTTGAGATGCATGGCTGTGGGTTATGTTCACTTAAGGGCTTGGCTTTTTTGTTGGTTGACAGCAGCATTTAACTGCTAATCTGGAATGTAGAATTAAGATAAACAACTAATTATACAACACTGTTATGAATCACTGAAAAGACCTTCATACATATGCACAGGTCATAGAATTAGATTAGATTTAATGTCACACAGATTTCTATGTACCGTGTATATGATATTATGATATGAGATAATTATCATTTTCAAACGCCACAACGCTGTAGCTATGTTGTGTGGAGGGCAATGAAAGTTCCAGTGCCACACACCCATGTACCTCTGTGTTCTGTAGATGACAGTGAGGATTGCAAACCCCAATGCTACCAGCAGCCCATAATCGAGCCCCAACAGTACGGAGGCGATGAAAGCCACCACCCAAATGGCCTGAAACAGAGATGCAGAGTGTTCAGGTTGGTTGCAACCGCACATTTTGGTCCTCTCCATGTACACATGCAAAATGCAAATACCAGCATGACGTATCAGTGGTCACAACGATCCCGGACAAACTATGAAACTGCCTCATATTCTCTGAGCCATACATGTCATACGCCTGCACATATCAACCCAATTCATGCTAACTATGAATGTACTCAGAATAGGATCAGAAGGATGCGATCTGCAGAACACATAAATCACAGGTGTCAAATTCAAGGCCTATTCAGCGTCACCTGGAGTTTGGAGTCTCATACTCGATTCACACACACCAATGGACAGTTTGGTAACTGATTAACCTCAGCATGCTTTTGGACTGTGAGGGGAAACCGGAGTACCTGGAGAAAACCCCACAATGACATGGAAAGAACATGCAACTCCACACACCCGAGACTCGAATTTCATATCTTGGCCTCTTTTTATGATTTTCTTCACTCATTAATGTTTATAGGGTCTGTTCTCCCATGCGCATAAGTCATTTCTGTGCCGACTCCCTTTTGAGCCAATATAGGATGCAATTTGTCCCACATTTTCTTATACATTGTTTCAAACATACATCAGGGGCCCCCAACAAAAGTACCTAACATTCTATGCGTAATGGTGCAGTGTGGGTTTTCAAAGGCAGTGACTAAAATTTGATTTGGAATAATACATTGCAGCCTATGCTGTATAGTATAAGCTTGCTTGGACTATGCAGTTTATCGCATTGTTATTGTATTAGCAACGCATTCTACCAGGTGTAGCAGGCCACGACCATGCTTTCATGTTTCTGTGAATTTCAATTAGGTTCACAGTGTAAATTAAGAGTCCTTGTTCCACATTTTGCTTGCTGTCAAAGGGGGCATTGCCCCCTTTTGTTGCTTGATGAATTCTCTCACTACCATGCCTTCTTTTTTAAGTTATGTGTGGCGGGCATGACCATGTTGTAGAGGGGAGAATATCCCAAACTCACAAGCGCGTGGTTTTGAAGCACTTTTTTTTGATGTATCTGATGGGAGAATCGACCCCTAAAACACCACCCAAACATGGAATCTTCTAGTGACGACCAAATGAAGCTTCATGAACCATCTTCTGTATCTTTTGATCCCACTATATAGCGCTCTTAGTTTGCTTTGAGCCATGCATTGAGCACTTTTTTGAATAGAGAGCACCATCTAGTGGTGCCAGAAAATACAGCAAATGGTTCATGAAGCTTTGTAAGGCCATCACTATAATCTTCCAAAATTGTCAAAGCACATAATTCATTAAAAGGAGTTATGAGTTATAGACTTGCTCCTGAAGAAATTAGTAATCCGCAAACAAATTACATCTTAAATTGCCATTGCTTTTAAATATCTGAAATGTTCTGGAAATTTCCATATCTGATTCTGGCTTGACAACACCACTCCCTTCCATCAGCCCAACTAGCCAAGGTTTAGAACCCACTTGAACCACAATCCGTGTGTTACTGTACCATAGGTTTCCCAGAGAGGGCTACAGCAGGAACACTTACCAGCTCGATCCTGCTGGTCCTCCACATGGTGGGAATGTCCCTCAGCTGCCTAAACATGCCCATGAGGTTCACCATGACAATGGCAGCCAGAGCAGTCTGCGAAAGTGAAGGTGAAGGTAAGGTAGGAGATACAGATAGCAAGTTACTTCCCTCAGTAAATGTGCATATTGTACAATGTGTCAATAAATGGAAAACAGATACATGTAAAATTCCTCAGCATCCATTGCCAGGCAGCACTTTGCCAATCACACCAATTTGCTTGCCCAGTAAGATATTTATGCCTTACAGTAGGGGTTCACAACCCCCGGTCCAGTATTCCACCGGGCCGGGGAACGCTGGGGGTTTTGTAGAGGGGTTGGTTAATTTCCGAAAATATTTTCAAATGTTTTACGACCCCCTCACGTTTGTGCGTTCTGTTCATATCTGAAAAAAATAGAAACGATTAAACTTATGAAATTGCTGACCGACCTGCCTGCACACTCGCCCCCCTCACCCCCCGCAGCAGCCTTATCGGTACGGAACGTTTTTATGCGGCGTAAACCAGCCTTCGGACATCTAAAGGTTGGGAACCCCTACCCTCCAGCTTATTATTTTACAGATGGAAGTTTACTGAAAAGTTTTCTCAAGCGTATGTTACCCACGTGTTCCTTTCTTTAACCACTATGCTGCATGTCACCCTGAAAGGATTCTGGGTAAAAAAGGCAGTTATGTATACTGGGGGCAAACTGGTTACCTAATCTCTAAAAACTGTCTGCTGAACAATTAAGCACAGACATAAACATTGAGGACATGAATGTGATTTTAATAATGGTTTAGGTAATCCAGCCCTCCTTCTCACGCCTTTTCCTGGTCAAAATCCTGACCTGGGGCCTATAGTGTAGGCAATGAGGAATGAGTAAAATTCATGTGCTGGAACTTTCCTCTTCTTCCATGACACCTTTACTAGGGACTCACCTGAGGCAACGGCTGGAAGACAAAGCCAATGGCTACTACCACAATCAGCACCACAATGGATGCCAACAGGCCAGCAATCTGGGAGGAGACACACTATTACCCCACATGCACACACATGCGGAAACACAACAGCCAGGCAATCATTAAGTTAAGCAAACATTTGCTTCCCATAGAGCACTGCAGCCGGAAGTACGGCACAGTGCAGTGATTAACTTCACCTTATCTATATGTCTTTACAGCAGCCTTAAGTCTACACTAATGAGCCACCACATTTATTCTGAGATAAAACTGAGAAGTCAAAATCATTAAAGAGATTTACACATTCATTAATGTGTGAAAACTATGGAAAACAATATCTCTGTGAATTGCTAAAAAATGATATATTTCATAGGCACACCTACAGATTGATTTACATGTAGAATAAATTTTACAGCAGGTGTGGTCTGGGAAGAGTAAACGAAACCATACATCTGCAGTACGATAAGTAACACTAGTTAGTGTGCATTACTGAAAGTGTTTTGCGATCAAAGCAGTTAGATATATGTGGGACAGATCTGTGGACTCTGGCAAGTTTTCAGGTTAATATTTTTAATTAGTAATTAATCCACAACTGGAGCAGTCAGGTGAATTCTTATCCAAATAATAATTTCAATTAAGAGCAAGAAAGGGCACTTTTATGGATTATATTTCACTTGTCATTTCTATTTCATGTTATATTCCAACTAACAATATCTAGATATGAGAGATTTTAGGTATGTTATAGTTTAAAGTTTCCACAATTTTTCTGTGTAATGCAGGTTTCAAGTTCCATGTTTGTAACACAAAATATTATACATATTGAGTGTATTGGAGGGCTCTGTTGCTAGATAAGAATACATTTAATCTCTGGAATGACAAATATTTATAACATTTATAAAATGCTCTCTTTAAGACAATACACAAAAGGTCAGATGACAGCCTTAGAGGAATATTGTTGGCTCAGATGCGATGGACCTACTTGTCACTAGATGCAGGGTGTATGTGACAGGGGAGGGTGTTACCTGCGTTTTCCCTCCTGTACCCTCCTGGACCAAGGTCCGGGACATGGAGGAGGTGACAGTAAAACAATGGAAGAAGGAACTGATGAAGTTGCACGTGCCCAGAGCAATCAGCTCCTGCAAGAGTAGACAGCATTTTCAGAAGCAGGTCTCTGCGATTTCTGATTCCGAATTCGGCCAGGGAGATGAGACCGGCTCACATTACCTGGTTCCCATCCACAGTGTAACCATGTTTGAGGGCAAGGATCTTAGCAAGGGAAATGGACACTGAAAAGGCCACAACTGCGATGGCGATGGAATCCGTGATCATTCCGGGAAACACGGAGAAATCGGGGAGAGCAGGTGGAAGAAGACTAAGCAGAAACAAAATGCGGCAAACAAATTCACCAGCCTAAAAAAACTCTTATTTTTAGAAGAACATAATACTTTCATAAGAAAAAGCAGATTTTTTTTTTACCCCGAAGGCACCTTTCCAACAACATCCACCTCGAATTTCTCTGAAAGCTGAATCCCATATGATGCCCCAGTGGAGACAATAACCTTTGCCAGAGCAGAAAAAGAAAAACAATAATTATTTGCAGTGTTACATGAAACACCTCAAACAAACGAAGAACGTGACTACGTGCCCGACTACGAGATTTACCACGATGAATTCCCCAGGAATGGGCACCGGCAGCTTCTGCTTGAAACGTTCATTGAGGTTTTTCACTACGAAGAGAAAGCTGATACACACCATCCCGAGAATAATGGTGGCAACGTTTGTGGTGGGGACCCCCTTCAGAACGGCTATGAGGCTCTGTGCAGTGAGAGGGAGTAAAGGGCTTCAGCTCAATCACAGTTAGGCTCATAATTATATAATGCAGTGCTTTCCAATCCGGTCCTTGGGGACCCACAGAAGGTCCATGTTTCTGCTCCCTCCCAGGTCCCTGCCAGACAGTCCACATGTTTGAGGGAGCAAAACTGTGGACTGTCTGTGGGTCTCCAAGGACCAGATTGGGAAACACTGATATGATGGGTACAATGGCAGTCAATGTTACTGTCACAGTTATGGTTACTGTCGCAGTCACTAACATCCACTCATTATTCAACATTCACAGGCACAGTGAGGTAGGACAAGTGCACATATAAGACAGGAGGGTTTTGACACATCCCCAGTTAGAGGTAGGTAATTTGGGTCCAGAGAGTTAAAGCCCAGACCAAGATTTTGTTTCAACCAATCAGTTGAGTATAAAGAGTCACAATCACAGAGTACTGAACTGGTTGGTTTAAATAAAATCTTGGTCTGGACTTTTAGTCTCTAGATTTGAACTACCCACCCTGCTCATGGGTCACAGTTACATTCACAGTCTAGGTCCCAGTTACGTCAGACAAATGTAAAACTGACAGCTGCAGCAGTCACATGTCGTAGTCCATTAGTGACACTCACATAAAGCACAGACAGTGGGCCGCTGTAGCGTGGGGTCCGAATGCCCAGCAGGTATTTCAGCTGCGACACAAAGACGTGGACCGCGGCAGCCGTGGTGAAGCCACGCACAAGGGGCTCTGCCAGGTAAATGGCGACAAAGCCGAACTGCAGGAGGCCCAGGATCAGCTACCAAGGGCAAAGAGAGAAGCAGCTAAATTTACTAAATTTGGTTTCCCACCAAAAAAAACCCAAACAGCACTATCACAGGGCTCTTCAAATCTGCCCCCTGATTCCAAATCCAGGCCTTGTTTTCAGTTCTCCCAGGCAGTTAGTTTAATAATCACTGATTCTGATTGGCCAGAGGCTTCACAGCTGGTTCACAGGTAAAGGAAGGCTGGAAAACCAGCAGTGCTCGGCCCTTGAAGATCATGATTTGAATAGCCCTGATCTATCAGATCTGCACACAGACAGCACCGGCAATTAAAAGGTTCTCCGACATGCTGCTTTAATGTCAACAAAATACTGCAAAATGAAAGACAAAATCCCGGCATCAGGAGCAGCCTCAGAATCAGACACAGCTATTGAAAGCCACTAATATAGCCCACTACTTACACACTGCTCTGACTATGTTTCGTTTCCAAAAGATGCATGTTGAAATGGACGTATGTCAGAACAGGATAATCACACATATGACCAGCTGAAATTTATTTTTATACACATTTATTTGCTTATTTGTTTGATTTCAGTTGTATGTGCCAGTTGTTGCACATTGCATAGTCTGAAAGTCGGCTATAGTCTGTATTTCATTTTACCCATTTACACAATTGATTGCTTTGATTGAATGCCACATGTGAGCCCTTGTTGGGTCTTAAAGTCCAGCCCCTTCTCCTACCACACACTGCAAGGGGATTGGCTGCCGAAAGGTCTCCCAGCTCACCTGGACGACGCCCACCATGCAGGTGAGGGCCACCGCGATCTGCACTCTCCTGGCATCCCGGGCGTTCACATCGAGCACCGCAGAGCCGTTGGTGTCATTCAGCTGCATGAGGAACAAGCTGTCGGGGGCCTCCCGCACCACCACACCCCCGACCATGAGGCTGACCACAGCGAAGGTTCCTGTGCGGTTGTGTGGAGGATGACACACACACACACACACAGACACACACACACATACACAAGCTGATGACGCTGTATTTATTTAAAGATATTTTATATGGTGAAGTGTTGAGGATCTCCCACCATGACTTAGAGATTTCCCTGAGCAGAATGGGGTCATTCAAAAGCTGTACAAGACCGGTTCTCGTAAACACTTCTGCATATCTGCCACATGTCCTCCCTCAGATGTTGCATCTCTCAGAGCTAAATGATGACCGAATCCATTCACCCACGCAGATTAAGTGCTGGGTGTATCCTCCTTTCATTTATAACCCTATCCCATATGTGTGTGTGTGTGTGTGTGTGGGGGGGGGGGGTCACGATCAAAAGATCTTTATGGTCCTGCTGAAGAACTTTCGGTGCTTCGAGGGAAGGCTGACTGGAATGTGTTTTCCAGTGTTCGTGTTTCCAGTTCGACTCAGTTCTTAAAGAAGCCGATCCCCGAGTCACACAGCCAGTCCCGAAGTGGATGGCTGGCTTGGGTTCCACGACCTCAGAACGAAGCTCAATTGCATGCTCAAACAAAACTGAAACATGACAAGCCAGCAAGGTGTAATGTCTTTAGATTTTGACACCTAAAAGCTTCACCCAGAAGAGAGGTCTTGTCTACATGCTTCTCAAATGCTTAAATATTCCTGGAAAGTTAGGCCACAGTTACAGTTTATTTTAACTGTAAATACTACACTTGCCCTCAATTTCACCCATGGGCCAAATCAAGTTTGAGAGAAACACGAGCATCTACCTCAACGATATCCTTCAATGACAGATAGCCATCTATCGGTGAAAAATCCCATTAAAAAGACCATTTTGGCAGAAATAGCAAAAGTTCCTAGAATGAAAATGTAAAACTTAGAACAAGAAAACAGAAGATGTATCTGCTTGGTTAAGGTGAGAAACCTCACAAAAGATCTATCACAGCCTAAGACTTGCATGCCAAAGCCCTGAACAATCAAAACTTCAAAAACAAGCACCAGGAGATCTCAGAATAATTCTGATAACTAATATCCACTAGTCTCCCTCTACTGAATGTGGGACCATTGGCTCAGAATGAACAGCATGATAGCTGTTCCTCCAGAAACCGTGACCTAGTGCCATGTTTTCATGCACAGCAGGGTAACTGCTTGTTTAGCTTAGCTTTGTTTCTTTTCTTCCCTACCCATCAGTGTCAGATTTACAGACTCACGCAGAGCCAAGCAGCCTACAGCCCAAGTTCCATAAAGCCCACGGGGTTTTGTGTTCATAACACCTGCTGTGGCCAATGTCCCCTCTGACCATCTTCTCTTATCAGCTATGAGTGCCTTCTATGCGATTTTATCTTTTTTTTTTCCGCCCGCATGCAACGTTTTGAAGTTGAATGGTTGGACAGATTAATACATGATGGATGACAGAGAAAGAGAAACAGGGAAAGGAAGCATCTTAATCTGTGTTTATAGTTTGCATATTAAAAACAAAGAAACAAACAAAGAAATTACAATAGAGTAGTAACAAAAAAGGTTGGGTCATCCCACAGCGGTTACCAAAGTGAGGACTGTGAGGTGTGACCTTGAATGGGTCACAGTCAACTGATGTTCCTGTATGTCACTTTAAAGGTGGTCGCACATTTCAAACAACGTCCAGACAAAACAAAATTGAATATATAGACAAGAACAATCTGTCACATATTTTAGACAAACCCTTCAGTTGTTCTATGCCATGCCACAACCCTAAAGGGCACAGAATGTTTTTGATGCAGCAGACCTACATAGAGAATGCAAATAAACGTATCGCGGTGATAGTCAGTTTAACAAAGGAGATGACAGCTCTTTTAAAATGGAAGTTACTCTTTTTATTAATAGCCTCAATTGGTCTAATACTAGCAGTGGCACAGACATGAAAGCCAGCAATTTACACAATACTCATGGTTACACGCTAACGAAACACACGCATTCCACAGCAAACATTACACGGTTATGACATTTAGTATTTACAGCATAAATACAGTAATACACATTAATTTACACTATTTACAAATACACGCAACGTGGGCAAAGCATAGCGGTAACTGCATAATTAGTCCGGCTGACCAACCACATGATGGCGCACATGCCAGGCAATCGTGGACAGTGGGTGGGATCAGAACAAACGAAAAAGTGTGCCTGGGGGCCCAGCACAGGTGACATGCCAAAATGGTGATCACTGCTCATATGATGTCATATAGCTAAAGCAATGTTATTTCCATCAATTTTGTTTGAAGTATGCAGCCACCTTAAGCTAGCACACATCTCTAGTCCTTAATGGCTGATCTTTGGTCGACCTCACTCATTCATTTGTATAAGTACTTGATGCATTCAGGTAATTTGCATGTATGTTTTCATGGCTATAAGTACTGATGGACAAAATGATGCTTTATGAACAGTTTGCTGTATTTTTTTAACCTACTAGATGGTGGTCTTGGCTTGCTTTGGGGCATGCTTTGTGCCTATTTTTGTACAGAGAGCGCCATCTAGTGGGGTCAAAAATTACAGTAAATGGTTCATGAAGCGTCATTTTGTCAATCACTTCCTCTCAGGGAGTTGTGAATCTGTTGTACATCCTCATATCATTCATTCAATTTAAAAGTACATGACAAGCAGAGGAGGCAGATCCTGCAGCAAACTCACCTATGGAATTGTGTCTGGAGGTCCCGAAAAATGTGTACAGCAAGACTGGATAGAAGGAAGTGTACAGGCCGTACACGGGAGGCACAGCAGCTAGCATAGCGTAAGCTAGACCTGTGGGACAGAAATCTGTCATCCAACGCTGACAAAATAGCGCAGTGTCCACCCATATCGTTTGCCAGCACAACAGGAGTGCAACACTGATGAATAAGGGGCGTGAAACGCAGAACGTGTTTCCACGATATCCCTGCACCATCTGTAACACAATTCATCCACTGATGGCCTGCTTCTCATTTTATTACATTTTCAAAATTTCAAACAAGGATTTGGCAGCACGGCTTTGAAGCAGCTCCTCCAGGCTAGTAAGCAAAATTAAACTGGATCTAACTGGAAGCATGAAATGCTATCATGTTCATTCCTTCCAGACGGTCTGGATGCCCCAACCCACTTGTTCTCTAATCGCCAACAGCCACTAGCTGTAATGCTAAGATTAATGTATTGGTAATACTTTACTCGACGGGGCACAAATAATATAGTATTATGCCATTACTTGTGTATTAAATAACCACAAACTAAGTCTTAGTGACATACTGATCTTAGTGACATACTGATGTTAATTAGTTAATTAATCTCATGTTAATTAATCGTGACGCATGTTTTATCTCAAGCAGTTACTATATTTGTTACTTTATCTGTTAATTCTGTGAACCTTTGTGAACTGCTGAAGGAACTACTGAAAGAACAAGTCATGAACAACACAAGTTAAACACTGATCTCATATTTGTTCATCGTTACTGAATCATGATGCATCTTTCATTCTAAGCAGTTACTACTGAAGGAACAAGTCATGAATAACACAAAATACTGATCTCATGTTTGTTCATCATTAATGAACTGTGATGCATCTTTTATCTCAAGTAGCCACTATATTTGTAAAATTAAACTGGATCTAACTGGAAGCAGGGCAAGGTTTGTATTTTAGTAGAAAAATGTGGGTAAAGTGTTACCAATGTATCTTCAATTACATCAGTCAGTGCCTCAGGATTCTCCAAGACACACACCATCTAGAGCAGGGGTGGAAAACCTGACCCATGGAGGGACAGTGTGGTTGTTGATTTTTGAGATGACCTCTCAATCAGCCAATAATAAAGCAGTGGTTCTCAACTCCAGTCCTGGGGACCCACTGTTATTGGCCGATTAAGAGGGCATCCGAAAAAAAACACGCCCAAAACGGCCCTCCATGGATCAGGTTGCCTACCCCTGTCCTAGAGAATCTTACTTTTGTCCTAAGTACCCTTATTTAGGGTGACCAGATAATCCACATCAGGGAGGACACTTTGAGCTACTTCAGGTTGTACAAATTACTTTAAAACTGAAAGGCTTCTGTGCTTGGCTAAATAGTTCAATTCTTCTTGTGCTTTGACTGGTTAGGTCAAAGCACAAGGTCTCAAAGCACATAGGAAGGACTCACCAAGCTGTTTTACCTTAACATTAGTGACAAATGCATGGTTACAGGAGTCTGATCAATCAGCACACAGCAAGAACTCAGTGCTTAAGTGAAACCCAGGTCCTCACATGGATTATCTGGTCCTCATACTTTATTGGCTACATATTTTTCCCCATATGCAAAGATCCCTCTCCAGAGCTCCTCCAGCAGGATACCAGATACAATCATTCAGGGTTTTAACCACCACTGCCTTCTCCTGCAGCTTTAACTTCATCTGTACTGACCTTGTGGCAGCTGCATGATTCCTGTACTCATTCCGGAGACCAAATCCCCGAACAGGTACTCTTTCACAGGGTAGGAAGGTAGCCATGTTAGGATGGGCAGGAAGCTGAACACAATGGATTTGGCCCTGGCTGAAGAACAGCTATGGAAACAGGAAACAGGGTTATGACATGGTTTGAGTATCATCATCCATGCAAAACAGCAGAATGTTGATTACTGCTCTTAAGCTTATTGTACTTAGTGAGACTTCATGAAGTGCACTGCTATTCAATGTGCCAGGATGATACAGACAACTTTGAAATACAATGTAAAACAAAGATTAAGCAGATTAAACAGGATCCTAGTGTCGGTTTCTTTGTGCTATTGTAGTAATTTATGAGTGCTATTCATGGAACCCAATTACCTGCACACACTGCTGAATTTATCATACCCAAATGAAAGACACCTGTGACATGTGGCGGCAATGGATACGTGCAATAAATGACAAACAAATGCACTCTCAAATGAGGGAATGAGAACATCCACAGACGCAAAATACACAAACACTGATAAATAAACAATATATTTAACACCATCCTATACAAAATATGGCAGCTAAAAATTTGCCCACCACAAGCCATTTTTAATTCACGATGCACGTCACTTTGACTGCTACTTTGATTGTTACCCATGTTACAGCCCTCTGGGTAGATTATGAGCAGGGTAGAAGCTTGTCTAAGAACAAATTATACCATTCCTTTGTCTGGAAAATAAATGTTCTTGAATTATTGAATACCACAGTGCATTACATGATAATAGATTTCCTTTAAACATCAAAGGGTTTTGCAACACCACCACGAGCATGAAAAACAGAGCAAGAAAGGAGGGATTATGGAGAGGGATTGTACAAAGAGCATTACTGGGCATAACAACACAAGCGGTTTTAGGGAAAAGTGAAAATATGACTAATCAGATCCAAAGCGCCGAGAACATGTGCCTGCTGGTGTCCTGAACAGTGCGCAAACTTTAGCAGGAACAATTACACTGACTGTTCCAGATCAAGCCAAAGTTGATGTAAATATCGCAATGGCTGTGCAGGGCAACACATGGGACAAGTGACATATGCTGCAGATTCTCTTTTAATAAACTTCAGCAGACGCAGAATAAAATGCCTGCTCTGGATGCAGTAAGTTTTCGAAATGCCTTGTCACTCTTGTTCCGGTCGCCCCTTCTCTTCAGTACGTAGATGTCCCAGCGAGTCTCAGCCTGCTTCATGTATTCTGAATGGTGTGACTGGTGTTCTACCTCTCTGTTAAATAACAGGATGTGTGATAGTGGTCAGCCCGTCTAAAGAAGGACTTACCGCTATCACACATCCTGACATTGAATCAAGCTGTTTTGGACTTAAGCTCCACACTCAATAGCTTTCCTTATGTTCACTTCTTAAAAGGCCTCTTGGACTCCTTTGCAGATAAAGAATACACAACTCAACCATCTCCTTATCTGGAAGTATATTTCTTTCACGATTGGGTGCCAGAACCTGGAAGCTGTAGCCCTACTGATCAACCCCACCTCTACGTCCCAGATGACCGGCAAACACCAGCCGACTTTCTGAAAGAAGGTAGAGGACCCTTCTTTGTTGAAGTTCCACACTTGGAGACTCTTGGGAGGTTAAAACAGTTGTGGCAGTCAAGCTCATGCTGTTAAGTTACAAAAATATGAGTCTGTTTCAGATTCTGGTGTTTTTGGTTGAATGGCTATATCTGTTGGGTATTTTCTTCCTTAATCTGGTAGTCATGACAATGGTTCCATTTCGGTCCTGTCCTGGTATGGTTCTAACTTTGACCATCCTGTTTAGATTTTGTATCTGGTTTCTCTTTCGGTTCTGTCACCAATTCAGATTTTGATTTTAGCAGAACTGTGCATTGCCTTCAGCTGACCCCTATTACTTTAGCTCTTCCTATTCTGATACTCTTTTATTTCTCTTGTTATTCTTGTCCCCCACAACTCTCTCTTTCAGGAAAAAACAAGAAAGGATGGTCTGGTATAGAATCCAAGCTAGTTGCAAAATGTGACCCCCCAGGGCCACCTAGGAGCCCAGCTAGATTTAGGTTTAAAACTTATAGGCCTGATTCTACCAAGTGCCTAGCTAAGTGGGTTTCACTCACTGAAATAGATAAACAATTCCTTCCTGAGGGTACTTTTGATCTAGATAGGCCGAATGACCTGTAAACTATCTTAGAATCGAATGGCCGCAAATAGCCTAATGACACATGGAGAATTTTCCTTGATTGGATGGTAGAAGCCAATGAAAGAGCTCCAGAATCTAAAAACAAGAAGCAGTTAGAAGTTACTAACCTGCTTCAAGAGAAATTATAGCAAACTAGCTCAGCCACTCCTAATGCTCTAGACAACTCACTTCTTCAGTTGACACCTTCCTACTATATCTAAAGTAAATCCCAACTGAGGATGACTTAACCCAAGGGTGGCATACCTGATCCATGGAGAGCCGGCACGGGTTTTTTGGATGGCCTCTCAATCAGCCAATAACAGTGGGTTCCCAGGACTGGAGCTGAGAACCTCTGCTTTATTACTGGCTGATTGAGAGGTCATTATTCTGCCCTTGAGTTGTGACACTGTGTATGTTTTTGTGTCAGTGTTATTATTGTTTATTATTGTTCATTTAGTTTTTATAGTGGCCCTCCGTGGATCAGGTTTGCTACCCCTGACTACCAAGAAGCCCAACCCCACTGCACCACTTGATCCCTGACTACATATAGAACATACTCTCCATCTTCTCCTAGGGACCTTTAGCTATTTCACAAACCATGCTACGCTACAAAAATGCACAAGGTTCCTGGGAAGTTTGGTTAGACAAATAGCTGCACGTTACCACTGTACTGCTAGAGATGTATTACAGGCTGCTGTGCCATGTGCAGACTTCAAACTCCTAGTTGCCAGTGCTCACTTGGGAGGTGTAAATAATACCTGGAAAGATACCAACCGCCTCACTGACTCAGCCTTAGACCACGTTGCTCATTGGGTTAAGAGGAAAAGGCCAGCACTGACTGGCTCAACATTCTTGAGTCAGTGAAAGTGTAGAAGACAAGACACTTTCAGAGAACATTCGGGCTTCCCAGCAGATGATGAAACCATGAAGACTGATTCATATTTCATGGGAAAAGCAGGCGCGCCACGGCATGTGCACCATAGTCGCAGACCATGGGTAATCCTTAATGTTCATACCGGTAGCGCTAATGTGCCAGGCAACTATGCACTTTGACATGAGGCTTGGGGTGGTGCTGTAGAGCAAAGCTGCTCTTAAAAGTCACGTTTATGAAGTGTGGGATGGATGCTATAAGAGTAAATAATAATTTTACTAAAACTAATAATAATCGATAGTTTATTGATCCCCATGGGGAAATTCTGTTTTCGCCTTCCCAAGCTTGCTCTCTGTAGATGAGAGCAAGCTGGCCACGAAGGGTAGCCACCCATACTGGTGTCCAGTGGCCTGTACTACGAAGCGGGGTTACTGGCTTATCGGGGTAACTTGTCGGATTTAAGGTAGTATGGGGAAAATGTAAGTGAACAAATATGAAGTCCATTTAAACTGTGGTACCTAAAATCCGACAAGTTACCCCGATAAGCCAGTAACCCCGCTTCATAGTACAGGCCACAGGGAGCTGGGGGTTAGGGGCCTTGTTCAAGGACCGGTGACTTTCTGATCACAGGCACAGAGGTTTAGCTCACTGAGCCACACGCTGTCCCCGGTAACCATGCGCTATGTACTTACCATACACAAGGGTTATAACGATAAACAAAAACACTTCCATAAACTGAAATAAAACAAGATATGAAAACAAAATATAAACGACAAGTAAACAACAACTATAAATATTGGTTCCGAAACCAACTGAGATAAAATAAAAACAAACGTCAGATACTTCCCGTTATTATTTTTAAGTACTATTTAGCTAAGGTAGTGATCTATTCATCTTTGGGCTTCTCCTGTAATGAACCTGAACCATACAAATAGCCAACGGCACCACATTACGACATTTTGTAGTAGCCAGCAAACTCGTACAAACTTCCATCTATCACTAGAAGTAAAATTACCAAAACCTAAAGTAAAATATATAACAACTAAATAGATGTACATCGTTAAAATAAAAACTAATAAAACCACACCTAAAACTAAACTAGATTTCAAATGAAAATAAGAGATAATATAAAAACTAAATTAACAATAACAACACTGACACAAAAACATACACAGTGTCACGACTCAAGGGCAGGTGTTGGGGCAAAACCAAGGGGGTTTGTTGAACTTTAGTAATCTTTAAAATCCTGTAGTGAGAAATCATGTAAATGCTGGTCTTTCAGAACTTTCTCTGTCAACCACTCTTCAAATCCACTAGCAGCCACTTTTGTTATTATTATTATTCTGATCACAGAGGGTAGAAAAGGTCTTTACATGCAATCTTTGGTCTGACTCCTTTCTGACTTCCTGCTACTTTTCCCATGGCCAATGAATGATCGAGGTTGGCTTGCAGCACTAAGAAAAGCCTCACTGCAGTCTCTGCGTTGTAATAAATTTCGAGTGCTGCGTGACCTCCCTATGTAGCATCCAAGGCCTGCCCCATGACGAAGATTACGTCACGATCGCCATGCGTGCCGCATCACTGCCACATCCCAGTGAAGTATGAACCGATTCCCGTCACGGTACATGTAGAAGCAACTTTAGGAAAAAAAAGAAATCTAAACAAAACAAAATGATTAATCTGCAAATAGCCTCACTCTTCATGGCAATTCAGGCTCGTACCATTTCTGCATATCAAAGATCTGGGGAAAGAGGCAAACTTCAGCATACCCAGAATACTAGGCCCCATTTAGAATATAATACTTGTGCATATTCTAAAGAAGGACACTAGAAATGAAAAAGCCCCAGAAAGTCCACTGACTCCTCACAAGCGGAATTGGATTGGATGATTTGCCTGTGGGTCAGTTCCACTGATAAGTGTAGATCACTTGGGACTTATACGTAGAT